TACTACCTAATCAACGTGGCCAAAAAATAAAAATGGAAATCCTAGACTATCCCATCTATGTGGCCAAAAATTTGGAATGAGCCGCACTCAAGTGTGGCTAATAGTTAGCATGTGGTCTGACGGCAAAAATAGACCACATCCTTATCCTGATGATAGTTCGCATGTGGTCAAAAAAGCAGATTAGGACACATAGGTAGGTAACAATATATATATATATATATATTGTTACCTACTTAGATTACAAAAAAAGCAACAAGGGCAAATAATTGAAGTAAAACCCAAGAAAGCCAAACAAATCCACCCCAATTCTTTTTTATTGAAAGATAATACAACGTCTATTTCACCATATTCATATTATTTAATAATATATGACAGTTAATTAGTAAATTATTTTCTTCCGATTTTCCTTTCTTTGTTATATATAATACTTTGGTAAACTTCACAGGCAATTTCTCTAATTTTCAAATGCTTTGAATACAGTGTTGCAACATCAAACAAAAACCAGTGTTAATATTTATATTAATTAATATTTTCATCTTAACAAAAAAAAAACAGGTTGGGAAAATTTCCTTTTTTCATATCAATAATTTGGTTGCACGATTTTTTTTTTTCGCACAAATTTTTAGGCCCCAAAAGATCATATTGGCGTGAAAATTTTGAACTTGCGATTTTCTTGACATAATGTATGTTCAAATATAGTATGAAGAATTGATTATTAATCCTTGTTTATCGCGTGATTTTCTTTTTTATATAATCAAATATGGTTGAAAATTTTTAAAAACATGATGAATAATTTATAACTGTTGTGCGTGAGTGAAAATGAAATCTATGTGGATTTGCAATCCCACGAACGTGAAATTCAAATTAGCCAACCAGAATTTCATATCTAAACACCCCACCTCAAAATTTTAGTTATAAAAATTTCGATTTCACATTTCACATATAAACATAATCAACCAATTTTCTTTCATCATCTTATAAATATATATGTGTGTTGTTGGTAATTTATTGTATTTATTTAACCAACTAATTACAAACATTATATATTTCTTCTTTATAATGTTTTCTAATAATATAGAAAATGGAAAAGAAAAAAATCATTTATTATTTCCCACCTTGAAGATTATGACATCAGTCCAAAAACTGGATTTCTTCAATCTATACTCCTCCCCTACGTTGTCTACCTGATACCTATTATGAGCCATCGGAAAACTTGATCGACGATTTTCACAACTTATTGTTAACTGACTGTCTAAGAGAGTCTGTTGGAATGGTTTGTTAACAATTATTTTTTTGGAATATTAATGCGTGTGTGTTTATAATTTATAATAAAAATTAAACAATAAATGGGAAAAAATTTTGTTGTGCATGAATTTGCAGTGAAATTCAAATTAACCAATCAGAATTTCATATTCAAACACCTCACCCCAAGATTTTAATTATAGATTTCAATTTCACATACAACATAACTAAATACTCAACCAAATTGAATTATAGTATTCAAGAGGATTCAACGGATTCTGATGATCTTTAATTTTTTGGAAAAAAAAAAATAAATGAATTTTTCTTTTTTTTTGGGTACCCAAAAAAGTGTGGCCAAATGCAAATTAATGTTGATATTGTTCAGGATCCTGAAAATCCACATCCTTGACCAATTAAACTATCCCTTTTTCCTACTAATGCTAGTGAAATATATCAATCAGTCGGATGATGATTTCAAATTTTTTGATGATCGAAATTTACACTTGGTGTTAAAGTTTATAGCACATTTGGAAATTATCTTTTTTGGTTATCATACCCGATGATCTCCTGCCCACATTTTTTCCTTTTTGATAAATTTATTATCAAAATTTCACATAATATTTTCCATCTTTTCAACCATTCATCAAATTTATAAGGTGATATTGGAAAAAAGTAATGTTATTTTTGAATAATATAGTTTTACATAGAGAGCCGTTACCAACATGAGAGAGGATTCATCAGAAAGCTATAATGACATGGTTTTATTTTAGATTAATAATGATGCTTGAGTTTTTATGAAAAAGTGGGGACACAAAATTCAAACATAATAAATAATAAGTAAAATAGACAGATATATTTGTATAATCTTAATTAGGTAATTCA